GGGGGGGTAAACCAGTAGCAGACACACACACACACACAATACAGAATTTGAAAAGATGACATCTGAAAAGTTGGCTTTTGAAATGCTCTTTTGAAGGGTATTATTTAAAAGCCACCCCCAACTGTGTTCTGCCCCGACCTGGATGGCCCAGGCTGGCCCCATCTCGTCAGATCTCAGAAGCTAAGCAGGGTCAGCCCTGGTCAGTATTTGGATGAGAGACCATCAAGAAGAAGGAGGAGGAGGACTGGATTTATACCCCGCCCTTCGCTACCCGAAGGCGTCTCAGAGCGGCTGACAATCTCCTTTCCCTTCGCCTCCCCACAACAGAGACGCTCTGAGGTACGTGGGGCTGAGAGAGCTTTGACAGAAAGTGCCCTTGGGAGAACAGCTCTGAAAGAACTTGTGACTGACCCAAGGTCACCCAGCTGGCTGCGTACGGAGGAGTGGGGAATCAAACCCGGTTCTCCCAGATTAGAATCCGCGCTCTTAACCAAAGGAAGTCCGGGGTCGGTACACAGAGGTGGGCAATTTGTTCGTCTTTTGCCTTGAAAACTCTTAAGTTAGCTGTGACTTGACAGTGAAACCCGCCCCCCTCCCCAAACTATGTTCTGCATCTTGTAGGAATTATGGAGCAGTCTGGTGTAGTGGTTAGGTGTGCGGACTGTAATCTGGGAGAACCGGGTTTGATTCCCCACTCCTCCACATGCAGCTGCTGGTGTGACCTTGGGTCAGTCACAAGCTCTGGCACAGCTGTCCTTGAAAAAGAGCAGTTTCTGTCAGAGTTCTCTCAGCCCCACCCACCTCACAGGGTGTCTGTTGTGGGGAGGGAAGGGAAAGGAGTTTGTAAGCCGCTCTGAGACTCCAAGTGAAGGGCGGGGTATAAATACAACCTCCTCCTCCTCCTCCTCCTCCTCTTCTTCTTCTTCTTCTTCCCTAATCGGGCAAAGTGCATTTGCTGGAGGCTCATTTTGTACAATATTTTGAACTGCTGGAGGGGTGGGTGAGAATGGGGGCTGCTCTGCCATTGCTGGAAATGCTCAGCTGTGCTTCTGAGAGTTTTTGCAGGCAGTCATCCATAAGGACTAGAAACAAACAAAAAAAAAACGTTGCAAGGGGAAAACTGTGGTCCCAGCCTAGAATATGCAACAGAGAGGTGCCCTGGCTAGCTGTGAATAGTAAGTGGGGGGGGGGATACATGAATGGACAAGTATACACTAGGGGTAAATGTGCACACACATACCCCTCTTTCTGGGGACAGCCCTCTTGGCCAGGGTAGCATTCAGAGACACATCTCTCCTCCTCCGCAATGCGTTCCTGACTTACCCGACTACGAGCTCCCCTGTGTGTTTTATTTAGGACAGTATCTCCCTGCGGACTTTCAAACCCAGGACGGTTCACAACAGGCAATAAAAGCAACCCGTGTGTCCGTGTGCATGCGCAATGGCACAGTCGCGTGAAGAGGTCAGTGTCCCGTGCAGCTGGCTGAGAGAATGAGCTGTGACGCGGGTTCAGGTTTCCCATCTGCCGGACACCCACGTGAGTGGCTGCCACAGAGGAAGGGGAGGGATCCCTGGCGCTGAGATTTTTGAATGCTCTGAAATTTGCATACTGCTGATTGTCCAGATTACTGTTTTATCGCTGTGAACTTTATTGCTAGAACGGCATTGTTCTTTAGCATTATATCTTTATTCTTCACTGCTTCGGGCAAGGTTTCTGGGGAAGGCCAACCCAGACTAGCCTGATCCCGTCAGATCTCGGAAGCTAAGCAGGGTCGGCCCTGGGTAGTATTTGGAAGGGCGACCTCCAAGGAATACCAGGGCCATGACGCAGAGGCAGGCAACGGCAAACCACCTCTGAAACGTCTCTAGCCTTAAAAACAAGACTAGTTTGCCACCTAGTGGTGCATAACGCTAAAAGATCTAGAACAGGGGTGTCGAACTCATTTGTTATGAGGGCCGGATCTGACATAAATGAGCCCTTGTTGGGCCAGGCCACGTGTGTCATAAAATGTAACGCCAGGTAGCGGAGATATAAACTTGATAAAGGACACAAACACAAAGGTTTTTTTTTTTTAACTTAAAATAAAAACGTGCTTAAAACATCAGCACTCTTGCAATATTTTGTTTATTTAACGGTGTCTGATAACTGATGCCTCTTGCTCTGAATTATTGCATCAGAATATCTGTGCTGTTGCCATCTTGAGTCTGCCGTTCAGGTGTGTATCTGTTAGCTGCAAAGCTATGATGATGATGCAGCAGCAGCAGCAGAACTGGAAGAAGCAGCAGGAGACAGCCAATTTCACTGCGGGCCTGAGAGAAGCCCTCCGGGGGCCTGATCTGGCCCCCAGGCTGCATGTTTGACACCCCTGGTCTAGAACTTCTGGCTATCAGACAATCTTATGATCTCCTGGCCATACTACACACACTGTCTACTACTACTACTACTACTACTACTAATAATAATATGGGGAAATGGGGCAGGAATATTCCAAATAATTGAATACATAAACATGGACCTCCCTTACAGGGCTGTGGTGTGGCCTTCCCACTCAAAGTGCCCAATCCATGATTACTATCACACTTCCCCTCTTCAAATAAAGTAAATGGAAACTTTGATCCTGCAGGGACTGTGGGTAGGGATGGCAGCCTCCAGGTGGGACCCGGGGATCCTCTGGAATTACGGCTCCGCTCCAGACAAGAGTGATCAGTTCGCCTGGAGAAAATGGCTGCTTTGGAGGGTGGGCTCTGTGGCCTTGTGCCCCACTGAGGTTCCTTTCCCACCTAGGCCCCACCCCCAAATCTCCAGGCGTTTCTCAGCCAGGAGCCGGCCACTCGATCCCCCCGCCCCGCCCCGCCCCTTGCTGGGGCCACGGGGACCTGGAAACCCCGACTGAGGGAGACGGGGTGATGGGCAAGTGACTCCCACCCAGTGTTCCCTCTAAGCCAGTGATGGCGAACCTTTTAGAGACCGAGTGCCCAAACTGCGACCCAAAACCCACTTATTGATCGCAAAGTGCCAACACGGCCATTTAACCTGAATCCTGAGGTTTTACTTTAGAAAAAACAACTCCTACATTAACTTAAGATGATCCAAACAAAGGAAGGAAAGCAATCCCAAATGCTTTCATTTACGTAAAATTATTTGGCAGAGAATTCGACACTTGAATGATGGTCTGGGCCTGGCTGGGGCGATGGCACGCGTGCCCACAGAGAGGGCTCTGAGCGCAATGGAGGAGGGGAGAATGATGCGAGGCACTTTGGGTCCCCATGGGGGAGAAAAGGTGGGGTATGAAGGCTGTAAATGAATACATGGGGGAGACCCAAGGTCGCCTCCCCCTGCGTTGCCAGACTCCCCCCACCCCACCCCCCTTTGGCCCGGCCTGTACCCTTTGCTGGATCTCCAACACGCTGATCCGGCCTGCTTCCCGCTTCATCGGACCCTACAGCTCAGAGGGAGTATTTATTTTATTGGGGGGGGGGGTTGTACTCTGGCTGGAGTCCTCTGAAATGGAAAAAAAAAAGAGCCAGTGTGCTATAGCGATTAGAGGTTTGGACAATTTTACTGAGGACGCTTTGGGTAAACAATCTTTGAAAGGCACTTTCTGGACCAGAAATTATTGAAAGCGTCCTGCAGTGCGACCGTGACGCGTCTCCCTTCCATTTTAATGCAGGGGGAAAAGAAGATGGCGCTTCCGCCGGCGGAAGTTGCAGAAACGGTTGGCTAAAGATGGGAGGGTAGAAAAGGAGACCGTCTGCAGAGCTTCTCAGAACCAAAGAGAAATGTGTTTTTTTAAAAAAATCCCTTACATTTGGCGCGTTTCCTTGCCCATGGGGGCGTGCAAGAGGAGATCCCGGGAAATCGGTTTGACCCACAGGAGGACGGTGATCACAGGTGCAAGGAAACTGATGTGGAGCAGCAGCGGGGGGGGGGGGGGGGGGGGAGGAAAACACAGAGGAAATATCAGATACTCTGGCCTTTAGAACCCAGAGCCGAGCACTGGTCAAATCCAGAAGCGCAGCTGAAACCCATTCTTCTAAAACCCCGCAAGCAAGGAAGGGGTTGGGGGAAAAGTGACAGCCTTCCCCAAAAGCCAGTCCTTCCCCTTTTCTATGCCCACCTTTCTTTCAAACATCTAAAACAGAATCTCCCTGTTTAGAAACAATAGAAGAAGAAGAGAGGAGGAGACTGGATTTATACCCCGCCCTTCACTACCCGGAGGAGTCTCAGAGTGGCTTACAATCTCCTTCCCCTCCCCCTCCCCACAACAGGAACAACATTTATACAGGCCCTGCCCTGTGTAAACTGATGGTGGAACCAGAAGTCCAGGGAGGTAGCAGGTCAGGCCAGGGTAGAGTTGGGTTGAGTTGACTCTCTCTCCCCCCTCCCAAGCAAGGAAGGTGGTGTGCAAAGCAACACCACCAACCTTGCAGGCTGCACACGCATGCAGCAACTGGCTGAAACTGGCCTCCTCCCCCCCCCCCCCCCCCCCCGCTGTCTGGGCGTTCGGCACTGTGGCATGCTTGCACTGCCACAGTTCCATTTGTTCTGGAGTGTGCTACTTGTTCTCATGGCAAATAAGCACCTCCCAAGACAGTTCACTTTCCCTGAGATTCTCTGGGAGAGTCTGACTGCTGGGTGCTGCCTGCTTGCCTGCCTTAAGTGCTGCTGGCTGGGTTTCCCCATTGGAAACAATGGAGGTAATGGGGGTAAACCTGTTTGGGTGCCCATAGAATTGAGCCCACTGGTCCAATTGCTTTGGGACATGGGGGCTTATGTGGGGAGAGACTCCCGAAGCTACCCTGAAAATATGGAACCTCTCCCTCAAACCCCCTCCCCCCCAGAGCCACTAAGAGCACTGTGGGAAAAAAGAACCTTTTCCCCCACCATAGAGAACAATGGAGGGGATGGGGGCAACCTGTTTGGGGGCCAGTAGAATTGGACCCCCTGGTCCAATGTTTTTGAAACTTGCTGGGTATCTTGGGGAGAGGCTCCAGCATCTATCCTGCGGGTTTGGAGCCTCTCCCTCAAATCCCCTCCCCTCCAGCCCCCAGAATACATCCTATGTTTTTGACATTGACTTCAATGGCCCATAGGATATAATGGGGCCGAATTGCCGCTGAATTTCGGCGGCAATTCGGCAGCAAGCCGATTCAGATCAGAGAATCTGAATCGGCCCGCAGTGGCCCAAAAGGGGCCCGAATGAGCCATTTTCGGGGGTGCATTCGGTTCAGATGAACCAAATGCACACCCCTAATTCCAGACTTATGACATGGCTACCTGACACCCTCCTCCTTTCAGCCATTCCATCTTCCTCATAAAGGGTTAAGAGCTCCAAGGGGCAGATAACAGCCCCGAGCCAGCATGACCCCTGATCGGATGGCCCAGGCTACCCCAATCCCATCAGATCTTGGCACCTAAGCAGGGTCGGACCTGGTTAGTCATTATTACTGTCCTATGGCAGTGTGTGTCGTATAGCTGGGAGATCCGAAGATTGTCTGGCAGCCCGAAGTTCTAGCTCTTTTAGCGTTATGCACCACTAGGTGGCGAGCTAGACTTGTTTTTAAGGCAAGAGACATCTCAGAGGTGGTTTGCCACTGTCCACGTCACGGCCTGGGTATTCCTTGGAGGCCGCCCTTTCAAATACTAGCCAAGGCCAACCCTGCTTCGCTTCCAAGATGCTAGCCTGGGCTAGTCCTGGTTAGTACTTGGGCGGGAAACTGCCAAAGAAGTCCAAGACAGGCAACGGCAATCCTAATGCATTGGTTATTGAACGTCCCATCCCGACTCACTCTGCATGGTCTGTCTCAAGTTCCTGAGTGGATATAAATGACATAAATAAATAAATCAAATGCCAGGAGCTCACAAAGAATTTTTGCTTACAGGACTCCACAGCTTAGAGGAAGTATTGCACATTACACGAAGGGATCTATATCAGTTGGCCACGTAAGGTATTGTGGGGGCCTAAAAAATTAAATGTTTGGAATTCTGGCACAGTGTGGCCAATGCTCCGTCTCAGCTGTGGAATCTTCTGAGCAAAAGTTCTACTTTGTGAGCTCCTGGCATTCAAGTGGTGAGCGAGCGATTTGGGTGCTGCATAAATCAGTTTGCTCTGGAGCCATCCTCCCTGAGCGAGGACAGAAGCGTGTTAGCCGGAGGCTAAAAAACTGAGCTGGCTCACACTAACTCAGCTGAGAGGGAACACTGGTTGCAAGCTGACTCTCACAGATCGCAGGGCAGTAGAGTGGTTACAGGACTGGGGAGATCCAGGTTGAAGCCCCCCCACTCTGTGAGCCGGCTTGGTGTCGTGGCGAAGTGCGCGGACTCTAATCTGGGAGAACCGGGTTTGATTCCCCACTCCTCCACTTGCACCTGGCTGGATGACCTTGGGTCAGTCCCAGTTCTCCCAGAGCTGTTCTCTCAAGAGCAGTCCTCAAGAGAGCTCTCTCAGCCCCACCTGCCTCACAGGGGGTGTCTGTTGTGGGGAGGGGAAGGGGAAGGAGTCTGTAAGCCGCTCTGAGACTCCCTTGGGTCGTGAAGGGCGGGGTATAAATCCAATCTCTTCTTCTTCTACCACCACGAAGCTCCCTGGGTGACCTCAGGACAGCCGTTCTCTCTCAGCCTGGCCTGCCTCACGGGGCTGTTGAGAAGACACAAAGGACAGGGACTTACGTACGAAGCTTGGAAGTTTAACCCTGTCTGTTCCCTCCCGTCTGCCCTTTTTTTAAAAAAAAGAAGAAAGCAAGTCAGCTTGGCTACGCAACTGGATCAACGGTCGGTCGGCTGCCGCCTTGAGAGCGTCCAGGTGAGTCTGAGCCAGCCGCAGCCCCGGGAAGGTCAGGCAGGCGCCGATGAAGGAGCAGAGGGCCACCAGGGCTAGCTTGAGACTCAGCTTGGTCACCGGGATCCTGCAGGGAAGCAAGAAAGGAGGTTTCAGGAAGGCTGACGGCAACCCCAACGTCTTGGAACTCACATAGCAAGAGCCCTGTGGGACTGGCTAGCCCATGGCTACGGTGGGGCTATGGGGGGCCCTGCCCCCTTCCTCAAAGCCCCCCTTTCTTCCCAAAAGCATTTAAAGGGACCCAGAGCCAGTTTGGTGTAGTGGTTAAGTGCATGGACGCTAATCCGGGAGAACCGGGTTTGATTCCCCACTCCTCCACATGCAGCTGCTGGTGTGACCTGGGGTCAGTCACAAGTTCTCTCGGAGCTGTTTTCTCAAGGGCAGTCCACGAGAACGCTCTCTCAGCCCCACCTACCTCACGGGGTGTCTGTTGTGGGGAGGGGAAGGGAAAGGAGCTTGTGAGCCGCTCTGAGACTCCTTCGGGTAGTGAAGGACGGGGTATAAGTCCAATCTCCTCCTTTTCTTCTTCTTTGGAGGAGAAGTGTGTGTGTGTGGGGGGGGGTGGCACGCACCCCTTCCCTCCTCTCCTGCAAGATTTAAAGGGCCCTCCAGCTGATCGGCGGGCCACAAAATCCTGGCTACGGGGCTGGGGACTGGATCCTGGCTACGGGGCTGGGGACTGGATCCTGGCTACGGGGACAGCAGAAGTGTGTTCTTCAGCTTAGTTCTGGAACGTACTCGCTGCAAGGAATCGGTTCTGTAAAAGCACAGGCCCTCTTTTCTTGCCCTCTAAGTGTCCTGACCTGGAAGGCCAAGGCCAGCCCGATCTCATCAGATCTCAGAAGCTAAGCAGGGCTGGCCCTGGTTAGTACCTGGGTGGGAGGCTAACAAGGAAGTCCAGGGTCCCAATGGAGAGGCAGGCAGTGGCAAGCCACCTCTCAATGTCTCTTGCCTTTGAAACCCTAAAGAATTGCCATAAACCAGATGCAAGCCGACGGCACTCTCCGCCACCCCCCCGTGTACCCTGAGCCAGAAAATTTCCCAACGAAAGCCACCCCAAAAAAAGGGGGGGGGGGGGGGGGGTTTCTGAAAAATGCCCACCCTAAAATCGGGGGAAACAGCAAAGTCATTACAACAGCATTACCCTTTTCCAAAAGTAAGGTAAAGGTAAAGGGTCCCTTGCTCGAAAGCCGGTCGAATCCAACTCTAGGGTTGCGGTGCTAATCTCCGTTTCAAAGCCGAAGAGCCAGTGCTGTCCGAAGACGTTTCCGTGGTCATGTGGCCTGCATGACTAAACACCAAGGCGCACGGAACGCCGTTACCTTCCCACCGAAGTGGTACCTATTTATCTACTTGCAATGTCTTGCTTTCGAACTGCTAGGTTGGCAGGAGCTGGAACTAGAGACGGGAGCTCACTCCGTCATGCGGCACTCGGGTCTCGAACTGCTGAACTACCGACCTTCCACAGCCTGCAGTTCAGCGTCTTCACCACTTGAGCCACCGCAGCTCCTTTCCCAAAAGTATAAGGAAATTAAAACAGAAAAAACAGCAGGTAAAAAACACGACGACGTATTGGGGGACGGCATGCTGAGAATCGGAACAGGTTCCCTGGCACAGAACTGGGTTGAGAAATGCCCCAGCGGGTCTCAGTTCAAAAAGGACACTCTGCTGGCGAACAAGAGGCGGGGAGTTCCGCCGGCCTTGGCCTGAAGATTTCCCAAAGGCCACTTACGTCCAGTCCCAAGCCTGCTCCTTCAAGAACACTTCCAGGTTGTCGTAAACGTTGGTCAGGCCTGCACAGAGAAGCAAACTGTGGGTGAGTACTGTGGGGGGGCCACATCTGGCCTGCAGTCCTACTACTGCCTCAGGGAATAGGAGGACACCCTTGCCGGATGAGACCCAAACTCCCATCTAGTCCAGCATCCTCCAACGCTCACTGGCTAACCAGCTGCCCCAGAAATCCCATTCGCCCCTCATAGAAATTCACTTTCAGCCCTGACCTGGATAGCCTAGGCAAGCCCGATATCAGAAGCTAAGCAGGGACGACCCTGGCTAGTATTTGGAAGGGCGACCGCCAAGGAATACCAGGGCCAGTACACGGAGGCACCTCTGAATTGTCCCCTTGCCTTCAAGCCCCACTCGGGGTCACCAGAAGTCAGTCTGACTTGATGGCAAAAAAAATGTAAGACACTTGCTTTCAGAGGTATACTGCCCTTGAACATGGAGGCTTCCTTTAGCTTACGGCTGATAGCTGGTGGAAGATTTCTCTGCCACAAAGCGAGGAGGAAAGGGGCCATGTCTTGGTGGAAGAGCATCTGTTTTGTGTGTGCGGAAGATTCCCAGGTTCAATCCGCAGCACCTCTGATTAAAGGCATCCGGTTGGCGATGTGAAAGACTTTCACTCGAGACTCTTGTAGAGCCGCTGGCCTTAGAATCATAGGGTTGGAAGGGACTTCCTGGGTCATCTAGTCCAACCCCTGCACAATGCAGGAAATTCACAAATACCTCCCCCCCACACACACACCCAGTGGCCCCCAATCCACGCCCAGATGACAAAAAACCTCCAGGATCCTTGGCTTGGAGAAAAATTGCTTCCATCCTGGCCCCAAAGTGGCGATCGGCATTTCCCTGGACGTGTAAGAACGGGCCAAGAGGACTAAGCACTGAGGCAACCCGTCCTGTCCTCCCTCTCATGATCTGCCTAAGTTCACAGAATCAGTATTGCCCTAGAAGGCAGCTTCGTGTATTCTGGTTTTTTTTAACTGCCCCAAGGGGCAGAATTTTATTTCTTTTTGAAACTAAACATACATAAAGGTAAAGGTAAAGGTTCCTTTGCTCAAAATCAGAACCTAAAAAGATTAGTCAGGAATAGAAAAGGGCCAACTCTAAAAATCTAATCATAAAATATACAAAATATGCCAATATGTTCTGTATGTATTAGACCTCTGAGGAAGGCCTGTAAAGGCCGAAACGCGTTAGGTCTATCTTATTAGGTCTATCTTATTAGCCCTTGTATGTTTTTATAGTTTTATATGAGGTATGAATGGGCCCTTGTTTGTTATTTTAATTTATGTTGAATAAACACACATATATATTTTTGTATATTTTATGATTAGATTTTTAGAGTTGGCCCTTTTCTATTCCTGACTAACCTTTTTAGGTTCTGAATTCTAGGTTTAAGTTCAGTTTTTTTCCCTTTTTTCTTCTTTGTCCCTTGCTCGAAAGCCAGTCGAATCCGACTCTAGGGTTGCGGTGCTCATCTCCGTTTCAAAGCCGAAGAGCCAGCGCTGTCCGAAGATGTTTCCGTGGTCATGTGGCCGGCATGACTAACCACCAAAGCGCACGGAACGCTGTTACCTTCCCACCTATTTATCTACTTGCAATTTCTTGCTTTCGAACTGCTAGGTTGGCAGGAGCTAGAACTAGAGACGGGAGCTCACGCCATCATGCGGCACCCGGGTC